GGCACCAGAAAAACTTTGTCATGCACCATAGCAGGTCTTCAAAGTACCAGTACTTAATGCAGGGCTGTGCTAGCTAGATAGTATTTCTCCCTTTCAATTGTTCTTTGCCACCGTTTTGCTTCTTTGAACTGCTTATTGCTTTGTGCACTAATTTGCCTCATTACTCTTGTGTGCTCAGAATCTAACCAGCCTGCCTCCCATTCCGTACTTTTCATGAATCCTTAATAAATCTGTTACCCTCTTTTCACCAAGCCTCAGTTTGTGTGCTTTGGAGAGCCTACAAGGGGGAGATTCACAAGCAGCACACCATGTTTAACACCCAGGTTGCATGCAACATATGGAACGAAACAGTATTCCACATGGATACTGGGATCTTTCCAGACCACCTCCCAGCAGCTATTGCTACCAGCAAAATGCTCTGCCTGAAAGTTGGGGAACCCCTCCAGCATGGCATGTGGTGCAACAAGGTGTGCAGTCAAGGTGAAAAAGTTGACAACTCACTGGCGCACAAGGATTCTGCTTCCAACGGGTGTTCTGCTTGCTATCTTGAGAACCTGGCTATTCTTTCTAAGTCTATTCATTACTTTCAGACTGTAAGGAATAAACAGCAATTTGCAGGGCTTTTTTTGTCATAGAATGCACCAGAACAGTGTTCCGGCACCTTTTTTTGATGGATTTTTCCATGTGATTTTGAACCGCCCAGTTGGGCACAGCAGGTCGGCGGCAAAACCATTAAAATAGTGCATGCGGGCTGCTTGTGTGTCCACACTGGTTGTGATGGTGCTGCTCAGCTTTTGACACTGCTCGACTTGTGATTGGTCGTGTGCTCGCGCACTGAGTGCTTACTGCGGGCAGCGACCATTATGTTTCATTACACAGTGTTGGTATGTGTAGAGTGACTGGCTACATGCAAAAGGTAAATAATTTCTTTATTTTAAAAAAAGTTGAATTGAAAATCTTTTTTTTTTAATTTTTAAAGTAAAAGTGTGACCCCAAATCAAAAAGGAAAAAAATTACTAATTACTTCTCAACCACCGGTCCTGCTAATAAAAGATTACCCTAAAAAAACCCTAAATAAAAGATTAACAAGATGTGAGTTCTGGCACTTTTGTTTTTGTTTTTTACAAAAAAAGCACTGGTAATTTGTATAACACAGTAACAACGCCAGAACACATTGCTGCATAACTATTCGATGTCCAGGATTCATTAGCTTAATGGAAGGAGATGATAAAAATGGACACTTGAGTTTATTTATTTTTACTTATTTATTCACAGCATCTGTATGCTGCCCTATATCTAGACAGATCCTGGAGCAATGAACAAGAAGAAAAATGAGTAAGAATGAGGCACTAAAATAAGATAAGATTAAAACCATGGCTAGTCAGCAACAAAGCTTCCCAGAACAAAATAAGTGTTCAGCAGGTGCTTAAAATAACACAGTGTCAGAGTCTGCCTGGCTTCCACAGGCCAGATGTTTCAAAGAAGTGAAGCTGCCACTGCAGGTTCTCCCCCTGGTGGACCCCTATCGGGCCACATGTCCATATGGAACTGACAAGAGAATGTTCTCCAATGACCCTGGTGAATGGACAGATTGGTAAGACAGAAGGCATTCAATATATGCTAGATAAACCCAGAGAGCCTCTTGCCCATTCATCTCCACTAAAAATTACCCTCTGGACTATCACTAGTTAAAGTACAAGACGTATTTCTGGACCTGCAAGGATGAGTTGGAGGTCCTTAGCCATACATGCAGAGCAGGAACACTAACTGCATTAACAACCCATTTTTGCTTTTTGTTGACCCACAAGTGAATCATTCAGCCTTAAGTCAAGTTGGAGATTTTATCATTTCTAAGACTAACTTGTAAATCAACATTAGTAGGTTTAAAAAAAAATGTTTAAAGGTCAGATATTCAAGTTAACTCTAAGCTGCTTTTCTGGTTGCCATGTTCAAAGTAATATTCATCCTGCTGCCATGAAGCAAATCATCTTAATATTTTTTTTAAGGACACACAAAGATGAAAGCATGAGACCGTTAGTACAGATCTGAAGAGAAACAAGAAAATGGAACAGCTGGCATACAACTCATGCTGTACAGTTGTAGAAGCAGTGGGAATTCAATGAGTTCGATCCAGACTATTAGTTGCACTTTATGTCTGACTGATTTAGGTGGAACTAATTGCAATTAAGGGAGCAATCCTGTGCACGTTTAGACAGAGAAAAATCCATTAACTTCCAGCATTCCCCAGTGGGCAAGAAACCCTAAGTGAGACTGCTCTGAACACAAGAACTGCCTCCACTTCCACAGTGGACAGCGTGACACCATCCAGCAAGTTGGGAGCTCCCACTATTACACCTGGAATGCTTTGCAGCCATAGCAAGACTTTCTGGACCGCTTCCTTGATGGCTCTGCTGGATGAAGCCAAAGGCTCCTCTGCTTCAACATTCTGCGCACACAGGGGCCAACCAGCTGCCTGCATGACGCTTGCAAGCAGGACTGAGCCCGACAGCACCACTGTGCACGTGTTCTCAAGCAAACAGCATGCAAAAGAATGCTGCCTTGAATGCTTCTATGCCACCTCATATTCTTCGACGCAATCTAAGCAATTATCCTCTACACTGCATAGCTGACATGGCTGAGGAAGGAAAAGGCCAATTCCTATTTCTGTGGCCTGGGCCAAGGGTGACAAAAACACTTAAAATATAATTGCAGTTTTGGGGATATGGGGATCCTCGCCCATGCAATTAAGCCTGAAATCTTTCCCCCATTCAGGCTGGAGAGGCTTTTGGTCGCAGCCTAAACCCCTCATTCCTCCCCAAGTCCCTCCCCGTGAAGGAGCAGAATCTCTCTGTAACCCTTAATTATTGGGACTGGGAACAAAAGGTGAAGTGTTTCACCTGCCTCATTCCCCCACGATAGGGAAGGCACAGAAAAGCGTGCCTAGACTGCTTGATCAGACCAAGATACAGCCCACCCCGCATTCCATTTCTGCAGTGGCCAACCAGCTGCCTGTGCGATGCCTGCACATAGAACACCAGCACAAGAGCACATTCTCAGGCTACTCATGTACACAGGATACAGTCGAATTCTGTACATAAGGTGTCTCTGAAAATGGAGAGGGCATCTGGCAACAGGACTAGTAGCTCATCCTCCATGCAACAGGCTAATTCAAATCTATCTTAGTCAAGTCAGGTGGGCCACCCTGATGAAGATGCAGAAGAGAGAATTGCTTTTCCACCCCACACCTCAGTTTGGGGCAGTTTGGGGGTAGAAGCCCTCCCTCTACAGCTTCATAGTAGAGCACCCACTTTCCATAAGGAAGTTCCCAGGCTCACTTCTCAGCACCTGCAGGCAGCAAAGAAGCTGAGCTGCTGGCGAGAATGCCAGCAGCAGGGGCAGCTTTGCCACTCGTGGACTTTCCCCAGCTAGGAAAAGCTGCACACAACAAATCCAAGTTTCCATCTGAAGTAGTGGCTGGAGCTTCGGCTGAAGTTCAGCTGAGAATCAGATGGCCTCACGGGCATGGCAACGCCCCTTGACCATGGAGGTATTTGCCCCCCAACCAGAAGAACTTGTCCACCCTTTTGCTTCTTACGTGCAATAGTCCACTATACTAAAGCAAGACACGTGCATATTTTATTACATGCATACTCTAGGGGTTCCCAAAGTGACACCAGCAAGGACCTTGAACAGCTCTCCGTCCCCTGCACCTTCCAATACTGATTTTTATTTTTTTTTAACTGAAAAATGTAAGGGTGTCAAATTTTCCTTTCTATTCCTGAACCTGATGCAGAACCAACTGCTATTGATTCCCATCCCCAACCAATTTTCTTCCACCCACACAGACCTTTCTCTTTGTACCATCTCTTCTTATCCATTCCCAGCCTTTAGCCTTACTTTTTCTCACTTCCAATCCCCTTTCCTTGCTATTCCCCACCCTCCTGTCTCCAGCCTCCTTCTCCCCTATTTGCCTTGTGGTTTCCCATTCCTGCCCAGCCTGTAGCCTCACGATTTCTCCCTCCACCACTTTTTTGACTAGCCCCTACTGCAACTCTAATGCACGTAGCATATGGGACCATTTTATAGTAGAGTTTCTTGAATTCCCAAATCCAGAAGGACTGGAAAGTCTTGTTGACAAGGCAGAAAATTAAGAGTAAAATTAGGGAAAATGGCAAATTATACCAAATTATGCAAGACAGAAGCATGACTGGACTGCACTGCTGCTTTTTGCTTTCAAAATACTTGCAGAAAGGTAACCCAGTAATTGTTTGCATATATTCCTGGGGGAAAGCACAATTTATATACATATATATGCATGGCTACACGTGCAATATTTTCACACCAGAATGAAAGTGCTGCCTCCTCATAACCAGTAGCTCTCAGGAAGGCAGTGTTCTTTACTGCCCTAGTATATACCATTAAGATTTCCTACCCTCAGCACACTTAGTGCCTTAGGCATTGAAGAGCTTCGGCCAGCATTATGTTAGAAGGGATTCTACCACCACTTGGAGGTTCCCCCATACAATAGTTCTTGCTGGCATACTTCAAAAGCAAAAAACGACAAAGCATTCCTTTTTTGCTTTCTTTCACATGAGAGTGAGTGATTCTAGTAATAAAAGAGTCATATATACCTTCTGATGGAAACTTCCCTGAGATTCTGAAAGTAAACTCCAGATTTCATTTTAAAATACTACATGGAGGGTGCAAGGATTAAAAGCTGAGGGGTTTTTTTAATTCACACTATTTTGAAGTTCCAAATATCCCAAATTCGGACTCACAACACTGCAGAACATTTTAAACGCAGTATCTCCACTAAGTGTTGCCCATTATCCACCAATTTTATGATTGCAATATGCCACTGTTAAACTAAGAAAGTTTGGGGTGGCATTTCTCTGGAAAACCTGATTGCAACAAAGCTGTTATGGCAGCAACCATCAGCAGTTAAGCACTGAGAGAAGAACCAGGCTTTTTTCTTCAAAGGCTATGTTTTATCTATTTACCTTTCCTCAATTCTGTTCTTGTCCATCAGGGGCTGTTTAAGCCACTGGTTCACCAGCCTCTGTCCTTGAGGCGTTTTGCACTTATTTAACAGCCCAGCCAGACACTGCGTACCTTGGGCATTTTCTGAAGAAGCCTGGATGGGGAGAAAAACACAGAAACGCTTTTTGAAAACCAACTATCTTTTATGCCATGCCAGTTTGTTTCTATATACATTTAAAGAAGAAGAATGTTGTAAGAGAATTTGTGTGTGTGTTTGAATTTAGTACTTTGTCTATATTCATTTAGTTTAGCTTACAAATTTACCCTTGGGTATGCAGTCTAGAATTCTAGCCTACACCTTCCTAAAGGCAGACAAAGTAAATAGAGAGATGGATAGAGCACTTGGAGAAAGGGGCAAAAAAAGGAGCAGAGGTCTCTTCCACTCATGTCTATTTGCACAAATGCTCTATAAAGTGAGGAACCCAGAAGCCAAACTGTGAAGCCAGAGCTGTGAACAGCTCGCTTTTAAAACAAAAACACTTGCGACCTTTGAAATAAACCACTGGGCTCTGCAGAGGTATAGTCCAAGATCAATGCTACTTGAAAGCATCCCCACTGGCTTTAGCATGTGGCTTATATAATCAGCCTTTCATTATGCCAAGGTGGAAACTGACATATCAAGTGGATAAAAGGTTTACTTTCCCAACATAGTTCTCTTTTTAGACACTGCCTGATCCATTGATGAAACACAAAATGCAATCATTTTTTTTTAACATACCCTTTCAAACATTTGATTCGTCCAAGAACAGCCAACATAACATTATGTAAGAGTAGTGAATGAATACCTGTAGAGAATGTGTTTATTTTGCATGGCAAAAGAAGAAGGGGATGCAGAGGATGAGGTGGCTGGATGGAGTCACTGAAGCACTTGGTGTGAGCTTGAGTGGACTCCGGGGGATGGTGGAGGGCAGGAAGGCCTGGAGGAATGTTGTCCATGGGGATGCTATGGGTCGGACACGACTTCGCGACTAACAACAATTTATTAAAACTAGTGCTACAACATTTAGCCCCTTTAAGGGAAACACCTAATGGCCCTTGCATATAGTTTTTAGGGGCCATAACAGTTAGGACTGCTTGCTTCAAAAAAGGATGGGGGGCAGCAGCCTGGCCTCAGAGCTGGGAATGGAGCTCTGATCCTCCTCCTCCTCCTCAGGGCTGGCACAGAAAAGGCTGTGCCAGCTGCTCTCTGATACTGAAATGCAACCTTGGAGAGGAGGAAAAGGAGACATTTCAGGGGTCAAGGAAGGAAGAGGCCAGGATGATCAGGATATGAGACATCCTGATGCTCCTCCAGACACTTTTCTTTCCCCTCTAAAACACTGTCACTAGACATCCAAAAGTAATTTGATCACAATTAGAACATTAGAGATTCCCCCACAAAACACAAAGTTCACTCTAAGATTTGTTGCTAGTTTGAGCTTTCTTCCCACAGGAGAAAACTGAGAGGACTAGAATTCTTTCCTCTGCTTTTCAAAATGAAAGGACAGCTGTTGCCTCTATTTCTTCAGGATTTTAAGGAGCTTCTACTAACCCAAAAGTAGCTAACACAGAGAAGAACACTGCTTGATCACAATTTGGATAGCACAACGACTGGATTCACATGGCACAGCAACCCTTCATGGGTAATAGCCATAGTGATTGTAGTACAGACTCAGACCACTTCTTGCAGGGCAGCTTGTCTGTGAGCAATAAGCTACACAGACAATCCATAGTTTGCTGTACTGGCTGTGTTGTCTGAACCTGAGCGATAAACCCCATTGTAGTCAGTCACGTGAAAAGAGCAGCAAAGCCCCTTGCCAATCCCGTTGAGCTTGCCCAGGCCCAAGCGTCACTTGGAAGTAACTGTCACTGCCTTGCTCCCTCCTGCTGCGATTGCAAGCTCTTTTGTGCTTGTTGCAGCTTCCCCCCCCCACCCCCATCTACAAAGATCGCATTCTGTAATCTCTGAAGTAACAGACACTGATAGCCCCTCTAACTGGCACACTATCAGTGGTATGGTATGGTTTTTTCCCTGCACAACTGTGCAAATATTTTCATTAAAATTGTTTTTTAAAATTTTGTAAAGTTTACCAGAGTTGTGCAGCTGTGCACAGCTGACATAGTCAGGCTTGCCCAGACAACATCTTGATAACAGCTTTCTGTCAAAATGCAGCAGATTCATGCCTGCATATTTTCCTATCATAAAACCAATGCAAGGATTTGCCAAAGAGTTTTTAAAAGTAAAGTCTTTCTTTTGGCAGCTGTAAAAAGTCATGTTTGCAAAAAGGGAGAGCCTCATGGTATTCACTTTCCCAAGCAGTCCTCAACTACTTGGGAAAAAGTGAGGGCACTGGGAACTGTGGGAGGGATACTTAAAAAACCTGAGGATCTCTCTGTGAAGGGAGAAAAATTCTCCCCTCCCTTTGTGAGCAAAGTTCTCTCACAGTTTTGCTTTCCCTAGACAGCTCTCAGAACAAGTGAACTCAAAGATACAACATAATGTATCTGCAGGCTCTCTCAGTCAATGCCCATGGTTGGTGTCTACTACACTTTTACAGCAGGTGTTTACAAAGACATTGCCCAGTCAATCTTTCCTATTTCAGCTGTTCAGATAAAGAGCAAAAAGCATACACACACACACACACACACACACATTCAGCTGTGCAAAAAAGGGGGCAAACCACTGACACTCTCTCCATTTTACCAGTTAGCCACTTTGGAAGGGCTGCCAGTGACTGACTTTTCAAAGATCCAAAAGGGATCTCCTAAACAAGGCAGGGTAGGAGCCACAGCAAATTCAAATGCCTGATGATTGGACAGAGGTGAAGAGACAGAGAAACTTCAGCTGTCAAGTCCTCTAGAATACATCCCATAAGACTGAGGGAGGAGGAACAGGAGGAGGTGAGGCATCCTATAGTGAGCCTGACTGTCTGTTGGGCACGCCAAGGGTTGTCCCATGAACAATCCACACTGCGTAGTTTACCTACAGGGTGGGTTGTCATGTTGTGCAAACTCACCAAATGGCACCAAACAAACATGTTACCAATATCAAGTATGCAACAGACATTACTCAATGTGATGGCTGGTTGCATTCTTATATTCCATCTTCTCCCTAACCCCTAACCCTAACCTCATCCATTTTGAGAAGAGGTAGCAAGGACTATCCACTTCTCAGAAAGAATGGTTCACCCAACTTCAAATTATAATTGAGACATGACTGGAAAGTACAGCATTCCTTAATACAGAGAATTGTATAATGTACATAAGAGCCATGAGAACATGTTAATAAGGCGACTGATGGAGCTAGAGAGCCCAGAGAGCATTCCTAAAGGCTAAGGGAGTAAAAGGTGATAAAAGCAGGCACACCAAAGTAGAATGACTTACCTGGAAAAGGTTAAGGGCTCTCACAGCAGCATGATCCAGAGTCATGTACTGATTAAGATCAAAGGTGGACAATTCAAATTGCCCAAAATTTGACTCATCATTTAAGAGTTCTAAATACTTAATCACTGCAGACAAGGAAGAGATGGCAACCTAGTGAGAAGAAAAAACAAACATGTTACCGTGGAACACTGGCATGGCTTGCCACTGGTGTAATGTAAAGACTAGGTGTGGATGAATTCCAACCAATACAGGGTTTGCGCTTAGCCAGCAGTATTCCTGAATCTGGCAACTTCATGGTTGTTTCTCCAAGGAAAGGCAGGAGAACACCTAAGAGAGGAAAGGGTTGGCACAAAATATCGATTCCCACTCCTAGACAAAAACACTGGAGAGAATGTTCCATTCAAAGGTTGTGTCCATCACACACCTTTAATCCATGGTCCAGAATCTGCAATGGTCACTATTACTTTTCAAAGCAGAATAACAAGAGCATCAACTGCTTATTCCACATTAAAATAGCTATGCAAGTAGCACAAAACTTAGTGTAAAAAGTAAACTACTGTTGATCAGCGCAGTAAGCACAAAGAGACCTCCATTAACAATGGCATCAATGCCCCCCCTTCCTTCTTGCAGAAACCCTCTGGCCTTTTCTTTTGTAATACAGGACTTAATACAGGAATCTGCATCCTTAATAGGATACATTGATACAGTGTCATTCAAGCATTCAAAAGACTGTACATGTCCTTTCGATATAACAGCAGCCAGAAGATCAGTACAAGACAGCTGCCCCAGGACTGCCAAAGCACAGGGTAAGAACGCCCTGGCCCCATCCATCAACCAAAGGAACAAAGGCCTCATTCAAGCAAGAATGTGAGCAAGGGAAACTCGGCCTGCCCTGAAGTGCATTTAAATGCCCACTTGCAACTCCCTCTCTTGCTCTGGCCCTGAAAAACTGATCTCCCCTCTTTTCTTTCTATTCTCCTTCCCTGGCAAGCTTTCTCTGTCTAGTTTCTGCACCTCTCTCTTGTTCTCTCTCTTTCTCTGTTGATTGCTGTGAGCTTCTTTGGAGACAATAACTAACTGTCTGAAAAGTGAGATAAAAATGCAGTAAACAGCTCCATATTGCAGATAATGTGACAGAACCAGTAGCAGCTCGCCTGAAGCAACTTTTCTGCTTGTGGTGGGAGAACAGAACTGGAGATGACTAAATTCAAGTTAGCTACTCCACTATACCAGCTACTCCACTATACCTCCTCTACTGTGAGAGGTGCAGTCATTCACTGTAAACAGCAACAGAGAGCAACACCGCAACATGTGTCCACGTTTCACAGAAAAGATGCTTTGTTTATTGTGTGATGTGCAGGCTCCTATTTACACTCACTCGTCCTACATAAAATGATTCCAAGAAAATTTACACCTCCCTTGTGGATTTTGTTCTATAGTTCGTAAAGATGTGGAGGTAAGAAAAACCCAGAAAGCTAATAGCCTAGTCTGCATGTAACAATAATTCCTGGGTTTGACTTAGGAATTGTCAGGGACAAACAGTAGTGAGTGTACTGCCAGCTTTGCACTTGTCACTCCGATTTTCAGTTGACAACTCAGAAGTGCCTCATCCCTGAGTTGTCATTGTGCCATCCAAACCTGGAAGTCTGGGTTGTTATAGGAGTTAAACAAGCCAGAGTTTACCCAACCATAATCCATGCTTCCTGGGTTGCTGCCTTAAAGTAGACCACACAAGGGACAACACTCCTGCTCATGCTTGCTTGACAATTCCTGAGTTAAATAAGCCAACCAGTCATACGTTAGACAATGCTGTTACATGCAAACTGGATCAGTCAGTTGCTACAGCACAAACTCATAACAACTTTCTTCAAAATATGGATTAAGTCAGGATTGGCAAGGTAGTTTTATACATAAAGCAGTAAAAACCTTTCCCCAAATGTTCTTAATGCATCTTTGTTATGTGTAAATATAACTATATGCAGCTGTGAAGGTTTAAAATGTATTTTGCAGCAGCCTTCTCCAACTTTTCAGGTATTATTGGTAGCTGAAGGCAATGTAAATAGTAGTCAAACACGTCTGGAGGGTGACAACCACCTTACAGTCTTCATCTTGCTTATTTGTGCAGGCCCATGAGGTAAGTTTGTCCCATTTTACACATGAGGGGAAAACAGAGCATAGCTTTTCCAAAGACAGCCAACAAGGGCTTCTTGACATGCAATATGCTGGCTGCACAAAAATAAGTGTCATGCAGAAAAAATGCATGCGTACCACTGTAGGTCTATTTTGCCATAACGACAAGTGTTTGGAGATCTCTGCAATGAAGAATAAGACATGCACTATTTTAAAGTGTCATTACTAACACCAGCAAGAAGCTGCAAGAGGGGAGCTATTTAGTAGTATTAATATGTTAGTTCTGATGGGATAACCCATGGCTAAGACTGTGTATTCCCTGAATGCCATACTGCTCAGCTAGTTCCTTTCCTGGCCTTTATGCTTGAGTGGCCCCTCCTGGCCATTATGCATTACAGCAGCCGGCAAAGGGCTGCTTGTCACAAGCAGCCAAGAAATCAGTAGCAACATTCTGGAAACAATTAAGGCAGCAATATTTAATTGATTAATCGGTTAGATCAACTGAAAACTTTTAACTGACTAAAACGGTGCCTCTGATTAATTATAAGTACAGGTATACCTTGTTTTAGTTCACTTTGAAGTTATTATACTTCCCAGACTGACCCTCCATTGAGCACACCCATCTACGCAGGGCTTTTTTTGTCATAGAAAGCACCGGAACGGCGTTCCGGCACCTTTTTTTCAATGGATTTTACGAAGTGATTTTGAACGCCGTAGCAGATCAACAGCAAACATCATTAACATAGTGCCTGCAGGCTGCTACTGTGTCTGCCATCTGCTAGTGAGAGATAGCTGCTCGGGATGCTGCTCTGCTGCTCGGCTTGGGATTTGTGTGTGTGTTTACTGCCAGCGGCGATGTGAGTTCCGGCAGCTTTTTTTTTCTTTTTTTCTTTTTTTTTTTTTTTTTTACAAAAAAACACTGCATCTACATATTGGCACCATTTTCCAACAGGGGCCACTCACTTTGTGTCTCTGTCTTGCATTTTGGTAATGTAATTCTTGTACTGTGTTTCAGACATTTTTCATTATGGTACTGTATAGTTGTTATGATTATCTGTGATCATTGATGCTACTGTGATCTTTGTAATTGTTTTGGGGGGTTTTGACTGCTCCACCCACCAGTCCTTCCTCCATGTATCTCTCTCCTCACCTTATGTCACCCCCACACTCTAGTCCCTGAGACACAACAATACATATACAAATTAGGCCAATTACTGAAAGAGGCCTACAATGACCCCTAAGTGGTCAAGGGAGAGGCACCTAGAAAAAGGCATGCCAAATATTGAGATGGGCCAAAAGCTAGGCCTCTTGCACCAAACAATCAGCCAATAGAATAACTATATGTGATCTGAGTTATTGCTATGTTTGATTTACTGCGGAGGTCTGGAACAAAACCCACCATTTCTCTGAGGAATGTCTGTCCACATATAATATACATACACACTTTAAAAAATACAGCTTCACTCCATTATGGTATACTTCCCTTCCACCTTAGCTACCCACCTGTTTGTCCATTTCAGGTAAAGTTGCACTAGACACACGTTCTTTTTTTTTTAATCTCAGCAAGCGGTTAAGATCTTGAATTGTATCTTTTGTTGAAAATTCATTCTTTTTCCTGTCTGTAATCATGATCCCTCCTCGTTGAACAACCTGCATATATAAAATCATGAATAGCATCTTCTCTCCAATTGCAGTCATCCCTTCCAGCAAAAGTTGCCTGTACATGAATACAGATTTGTCCTAACTTAGGCTTTCTATCCGTTTCTTCCTCTTATGCATTTCTGTTAGAATGCAGAGACAAACACTCATGCTTCTTTGTATTGATCCATATCAAGGATCCTGCCAGAGGCAGCCTATGGACAATTCAAAACAGAGCACAAAAATTCAGGGGACCTAAGAAAGACCATGTGCATACAAAGAACAATGCTTTGCTTTCTATCTAAATGCAGTTTAGACTATTCACTTTGACAAAGTCAGAGCGCTTTGAAAACAATGGTGTAAAGGCTGGCTTACATCTGCATCCTCCGTATACACAGAGCTGTCTTTTAGAACTCCATTCCAGGATTTATTTTATTTATTTATTATTTATTAAATCATCATCATCATCGCCTGCCTTTTCCTTCTTGCAAGGAACCCATCCTCTCCATTTTAGCCTAGTAACAACCCTGTGAAGTAGGTTAGGTCCAGGGCCCATAACTGGCCCTAAGTCATTAAGTGGGGACTAGAACCTGGTTTTCCTGAGCCCCAATCCAACATCCTCACCACTGTACTACACCGATTTCTCCATTGTTGAAACCTCTTTCAGCCTGAGGGCCAAAAAGCACTCAAGTGATGCATTCCAGCAGTGAGACCAAAGACAAAAGGGGTACAGCCAAAAATACCAGAATAAGTTAACCTAAAATTCTTACTGCTAGTAACCAAGCCTTGGGAGAGGCATTTCAGTCTTCTAGAATGGGTGGACAAGTGCACAAAGGCCAGGAAATCGCCCAGCAATACATGGTTGGGGAAAAGGAGCTGAGGTCTTCTGAGGAACACAGGAAGTCTGGATTTGGCCCCCCAGGTCTGACATTCTACACCCCAGCTAGTAGTCAAATGAACATATAAGACATCCATAAAGATGAAGAGCCTCATATCATGGCAAGAGAGCCACACACTGATTATTTCGGGTTGCTGAAACATACTTTGATTCTTTTCCTGTTAATGCTATGGAGGAGGAACTAGACAGAAATGCCTCCAGCATGTTTTAATCTTCAGAAGCTGCACCAAATGCATCCAGAATATCAACATTTTCATGAGCCTGTGATGTTATTAATACATTGGGGTTGGCATTTAGAGAAAGAGACTTAAACATTTTCAATCAGGTAAAATGAATTGAAGGAAAATACATTTAAAGGCAGAACTGCTCCAGATCATTGCCTTCCCTGGTTGTGTGCCAAGGGCAAATTAAGTTCAGAAAACCGTGTAGGACAGAGAAAAGCAGTGAATTGTGTCAGGAACCCAATTTTCAGAGGGGGCCAAGGACTGTCTCCACAAGAATCCCATTTCTGGTTGGGAAAAAGATGGCGAAACCAATTTGAGTTGATTCAGATACAGAAAGGAAAGGGAGAAAGTAGACGAAGTAACAGATGTGGGGGTACGAGAAGCAGTGATATTGAGGGCTACTGCTTCTGACCATACAATGATTTCCATAAAAGGTGTTGAACCTCTACTACATCAACTTTCCCCAAGGCATATTAATAGGAAAGGCCCAACAAGAGCCATCATTCTTGGGTCTGCAAGAATACTCTGTGAGCTCTGTGTTATTCTTGTTCATTTGTCTCCAGTGCCTAAAAGGACTCCAGTGGAGACAAACACCTTCCTCCTCCAAAGAGGCAAGTCAGAAGGACAAATCTGTTGTTTTATTTTCTGCTCAGCTTCACAGCATTGAATTCATTCTGTCCCATTTCACATCATTTGTGAGTTTAAAAAACATATTCTCCTAACATACACATTTTTGTACACACATTTCCTAATACATGCATTTTGCAAGTGATTTTCCCTAACCTAATGTGATTTTATGCAGATCTTCCCTGATATATACATGTTCATGCATTTTGATTTGCTAACTATACTGCAATATTCATAACAGCACAAACACCAAATTACAGCTCATATTCCAATTCATGTACAGTTTCAGAAAGTACAAATCTTTTATGTTTGCATTAAAATACAAATCAAATGGATTTCCCACTCATCCATATGGACCATTCAGGGAATGAACACTGCAATTTCACATATGTCTATGCAAAATTAAACCCCATGTTCAATGGGCTTACTCCCATGTAAACTTATTTAGGATTGCCACATCCTAAATTGCAATCCTAATCTCATTCTGGGATCACATCGCTAATGTATTGAGGCACATTGTGTATTAAAACTCAGTGGTACTAAGCAGCCACCAATTTTAGATTTTGAAGAATTGATGACCTAGTGGCTTTTGGTATAGCAACAGGAGAGGCAAGACAAATTCAGCTCAAATGATCCACTTCCAAGTTTTTAGATAAATTCTGTTCTTGTTCAGGCAAATAACTATGGGCTAGATGGCAAAGTTATCGGTTGGAGGGAATGAACAGATGAAGGCAAATTCTGATCAAAAGTGTCTAGACTGATTCCGAACATTGTGGGTTCATGCAAGTCTACATATTCACTTTGTATATACTCTCCCCACAACTATTGCCTACCACATTGACCCAAATATTGTGCAAGACCAGAAAGAAAAAAGAACAGGCACATTGAGCATTGACTGGAGTGCCTACCATGCCAGTTGGATAATTCCCCAGAACTGCCTGGAATCCATTTTGGATCTATCAGCCTCCAGGAGGTGAACCAACTGAATGGCTCCCCTACCCCTGCAGAGGGAGAATGGCGCCAACAGTTCAAACCTCATGAGGAAGTCACAGCAGGGTCTGTCCATGATATCTGAGCCAAGATGCTGAATAGCAGCCCTACCAACTATCCCACCCTCTTAATGGCCCAGCAAATTTAAGGGATCTAGCAACTGGAAACAGGAGATTTGCCCCCACACCACCACTACCCAAGAATTCACATAAAGCTTTCAGTAAAGTAATCTACTGGTTAAGCCAAGTAAAGATTGCAGCCTAGTTCAAAAGTAATCTTTGCTAGTTGCTTTCTCCGGCACCCCAATTTCAGGTTCACATAAAACAAACCCACAAAGCTTTCATGGCTTACCTGTCTCAATTTCTCCATATCTCCAGAAGTTTCTCCCACAGAAAGTAAACATTCCTTGGGTCCCATTTGAACCAACACTGCTTCAAGGTTTGAAAACTGATCATTATCAGGAAACTCACACACTTCCAGTTTCCTCACCAACAAATCCACAAGCCCAACTCCTACAATTTTTTGTCCATCCACTGAGAGAAGTTTAATACCCACAACACCAACAGAAGATGACATTTCATGGTTGCCAAAAAGAATATCCTCAAACTGAGCAAGGTTTCCTGGAGAACCCTGTATGAGAAAGAAAATAAGGGAATGAGACCTGGTTCTGACTTACTGAAGAGATTGAATACATACACGGATACAGTAGTTAGGCTGCCAAAAAAATCAAACTGAATGCCCTTTACCTAGTTCAGGCTTTTTGAGATTATTCTCTGAACCAAGACAGCTAACACTGTAGGAGCTGTGTGTCCTATCAGGTGTGCAGCTTCACAGTAGGGAACCAATCCACCTAGAGCACAGGAACTGACAGGCTAGAACACAGTTCTATAATACAATTGCTATCATTAATTTGGGAAGTGGGAAGACACAGTGGGTAATGCTTCTTACCCCATGGAAGAGGCTCTTATTTCTTCCCACTAATGAAGTAACACAATCCTACCAAAATACCTGGCAGTGCAAATAACACCAGCAACTTACGAGGATGAGCCAAGCCACATGCAACAAGGAAGGAGCTAGGGCAGGAGTGAGACTCCCCTTTCAACTGTCCACAGATTTGTCGAGTAGGGCAAAGAGCAGGGCCAAAATACCAGCTTAACACTGCTTGGAGCTCTGACAGCCAGTAAGTAAGCCTTAGGAGAAACATTTCAACTTGTGCAAAAGCCAGGAACGTGCCAAACAATCAGTGGTGGAAGAAAGGAGGTGCAGCTAACATAGCAATCTGTGAAGCCAAAGGGCTCCACCCTTAAGGTGGAGGTTGCCCACCCCTGCCTTAGGACTACTAACCACCAGGCCTAAGGGGAAAATTCCTTCCTCATCACTGGGTGCCTAAGTGGAAGGACAAGATGACAGAGAAGAATCTCTTTACTCCCTCTGCCCTGCCACTCACTCACCACATCTGTGAGTTTGTGCGTACATGTGTGGTGTGTTTCTATTTGGACAGTTTAGCACCCACCAGCTTGCACAGCTTCTCCTCCACCAAGAAATAAGCCACAATCACAATGTTCTTTCTGGACTGGAGCCAGACTACCTGTGGCCACAGGTACTTGTGTATTCTGCCCATGGGACTCACCTCCTCAAGGAAAGTGGGGGAGGGGGTCAGACTGCCCCAGTTAAATATGCCCAGCAAGAACAGCATTGTGCTCTAGAGTAGGGGTAGGCATGTTTTGGATTTTTGCTCCCAGGAATCTTGAGTACTGGCCAGGCTGGCAGGGGGTTCTGGGTGTGAAAGTCCCAAACACCTGGAATGATTTATCCACTCCTGCTCTAGACAGAAAGCAAGCAAAAAGATTTCTTCCAGGTGAAAGGCTACAGGGATGGGCAGTGAAAGCACTGGAAGCTTCAGGACTGCAGTACCCTTACAGCATCCAGTGCTCCAAGTCTGGGAAGATCCTGCAGACCCACAGCCACCTATCAACTAAACCCCACATATTATCCACCATTATCTTTCCTGTAGAGGAAAAACAGATCTGGAGACTCCAACAACTACTGCTTGGAGGAGGGACCTGAGTCCCTTTTGCCAAGCATCAGGTAAAGCCCAGATGTTTTCGCCCGCCTTCCTCACAAGGAAGTATGTGGGGTAGGACTCCTTTGCTGCTGGGTGGAGGCACATGTCCCTGTCCAGCTGGAAGAGGGCATGAATTTGCTGACCAACAGTTTTGGCTTGGTTGATGAGGCCTCTTGGTTAGACCCCTCCAGGGAAAAATCTTCTTTGCCAGTTCCCCCTACAACCCCGTTGCCCCTGCAAGGCTGCTCCAGAAGACAAAGGATATTTCCAGAACAGCTCTAGAGATGGTGCTGTGGCTGCAGAAGGAACTGGAACCCGCAGCCCCATCCTCCAGGAAGAGCTTCCACTGAATCTTGCCAGTGTGGCGTAGTGGTTAAGAGCATGGGACTGGGACTCAGATGACCTGGGTTCTAGTCCCCGCTCAGCCATGGAGCCAACTGGGTGACTTTGGGCCAGTCACAGACTCTCAGCCCAACCTACCTGACAGGGTTGTTGTTGTGGGGATAAGATGGAGGAGGAAAATGATGTAAGCTGCCTTGAGCCCTTTGTAGGAAAAAGGCAGGATATAAATCAATCAATCAATCAATAGCGGCCTGGCTCAGACATGATGAGATACAAGTAAACCCCCTGTTAGAAATTCACATTTCTAATTGTGGCAATGGCCACCATTTCAAAAATTCAAGGCATGGAGGTTCACTGCAACTTGTTGTCATTAACAAATCTGGCAGGGGTGGGTTCTTTGCAAACCACCCAGACCCAGGCCTATTTAGGGTTGCAAGGTGACTTGTTAGCCACCCCACGACCCATTTATAAATTTATATGCCGCCCATTGTGCCACAGCATCTCTAGGCGGCTCACAATCAATCAAAACCATTATAAAACTAAAACCCAACAAACTACATCATTTAAACTACATTTTAAATCTGTATTTAAAATAAAATACAGATAGAGGTTTACTGGCATCAAATATTAAAATGGTTTTTTTTAAAGGTAGGTTTCTGCCTGGTGCCAAAAAGAGTATAAAGAAGGTGCCAGGTGAGCCTCCTTAGGAAGAGCACTCCAAATGTGGGGAGCAGCAGCAGCAAAGGCCCTCTTCCTAGCAGCCATCCCTCTCGCTTCCCTAAGGGACGGCTCCCTCAGGAGGGCCTCCTGCATTTCCATCAGGTTGACCCATAACAACAACACAGGTTGACCTGTGATGTATCTCTATCACAGCCTGAATTTACAAAATGGTGGGCTGCACCTCAACAAGAAGTCGCACAGGAAAATTCACTCATAGTAGCGTCTCATCACATGCAAACTGGCTCAATTAACTATTTCTCCAGTCCTGTAAGCTGCCCTCAATCATTAAAGTGCCAAAACTAACATCCTACTGGACAGTTCAGAAATATCAGACACATTTGAATCTGCCTGATCATATGAAATCTAACTGGCAGATGAAAAGCAGAGATGGGTTTGCAATCAGAGCAATACATACTATTTAATATAATTATTCACTCCAACTGGTCATGATGAAGACATACCTTATATGCCAAATACCATTCACTTTCTTTGGTAGATTTATTTCCTGCTTTGTTCTTGTATACCTCAACCCTGTACTGACGAACGAGAAGAAGATCCCGCAAGAAAGATTCGAAATTCATCTTGCTAAGTGCAACACTTTCAAGTTTCCGGGTTCCTAAAGAGATAATGGTATTGAAAGACTGCAGATGACACACTAAAAATGGAAGGTATGATCCAGTCAAGGTATATATGCTGTACTGTCCCATTGGGTTGGATGCAGACTTAGTCATACTTAGAATTAGCACTAGGTCATACAGAATAAAGTATATTTTTCTTGATGTATACAAATAATGGATTTATATGCATTTTTTATAATTTAAAACCAAACCACCATTAAAATAAGTTGTTAAAATAGCTGAAGAAAAGGTAAGTTTTTGCCTGTTGCCAAAATGCTATCAGCAATGGTGCCAGGCACACCTCTCTGGGGAGCCTATTCTAAAGGTGGGGCACTACCATCAAGAAGGCCATTCTAGCCCATTCTAGCATCCCCCCACCTCTCTAGGGAATGGCTGCTTAACCCCCCCCCCCCCCCCCGATCTTAATGTATAAGTAGGAACATACAGGAGCAGGTAATCCCAGGGCCCAAGCACAAGCACGTAAAATTGGACCTAGACTGCAACTGGTACCCAGTATAGTTGCTATAAAAGTGGTGTAATATGGGCCTGTGGACTAGTTCTTGTTAACAATTGCGCAGCCCTGTTTTGAACCAGTTGGTGTGTCCAGACTGTCTTCAAAGGCAGCCCCATGCAGAGCACTTTGCAACAGTCTAACCAAGATGCATGCATAATTGTGTACATCAATCATGTCATAATCTTGCTCTAATTATCTGGCAATGCTCATTATTAATCAGAGAAAAAGTCATTAAACAGAATAAAGGTTTGACTTAGTATTGACCTTTAATTTACCCATGTACTTATTAATAACCTTCTAGCCACAGTCAGATAAACTACATAGCTAATGGGGCTACAACCTAAGGGGGCCCACTAGCAATCCCGGATTTCCAACTTTCAAAAATCAGTTTCCAGTTGTTGTAAAACCTGAGATATGAGACAAAGAAGGCATATTTCAAATGCTTCGTAAGAATTGGACACCTGTTTTGTGAGAAACGAGCCAGCTACCACTTTTAGTGTGTTTGGTCAGTGAGCGAAGTCACAGCACTGGACCAAGAACAATGTAGAGCAGCAACTTATCTGAGGAAGACACTTCACGGTTCATCGTGAACTTGCTTTTTTCTGGTCCCAGATGCACAAGTGCATTCAAGAAATCAGAATTGGTGGTCTTTCTCGGCTTTCTGTTGGTTTAGCTACTGGAGATGAGAAGTATGAATCCTGCTCCCGTGGACTCCCAGACCCTCTACACACTCCACCAAAAAACAGCAACACACCAACTTCCAGTGTGTAATGGTGCAATTCTATTAATATTTAGGCACACAAAAAGTCCTACAATTCATAGCAGGCCCCAGACATGCCAGGAGCTGTAGGACTTTTTTCTCTCTGAACATGAATAGAGTTATACCCTACAGATTTTTAGCATTTCAGCGCAGGTTTCTTTATTTATTCAGTTATCCCTGGGTCATACAGTCAGCTGAAATGGGAAGGAAATGGGAATGGTGGGAACAAGAAGGATTTGGGCTGCATTTTTATGCTAGTAATTCTTACTGGACACCATTTTGGGTGGCAGTGCTTTTGTATCATTTTGCTTGCTAAATAAGACATACTAAGATTGTGCTGTAATGCTGCTGTTCTTTACCTACGCATAGATGTAAAACACATTGAATACAGGAGTACGTACATCTACTGGCATAAAAACATAAGCATAGAATAAGAAAATAAAAATAGGATGGCAACATTCATAGAAACTTGAGAGCAGCTTTGTATGTCTCTTGCAAGAAAAACAAGTTTAAGTCTTGTTGTACCGACTGATTTCAGTTCTCCCCCCATCCATGTATATAAACCTGAAATTTCCCATAATACTCCATATAGAGAGAGCCAGTGTGGTGTAGTGGTTAGGAGCATAGGACTGGGACTCAAGACAACCTGGGTTCTAGTCCCTGTTCAGCCATGGAGCCAACTGGGTGACTTTGGGCCAGTCACAGACTCTCAGCCCAGCCTACCTCACAGGGTTGTTCTTGTGGGGATAAGATGGAGGAGGAGATGTAAGCTGCCTTGAGCCCTTTGTAGGAAAAAGGCAGGATATAAATCAATCAATCAATCAATCAATCAATATGAAGGGCACAATATTCCACAAAAGTTTTCAACTAAAATAGATTAGTTAAGTCTTTAAGGTTCCATAAGTCGTTGTTGTTTTTGCTGTTCATAAAGTGTTTGAGTTTGCATTCATGCAAAAGATAGAGGTCTGTGTGTGAGGCAAATGAGCCAGCGTAATTTAGCAATTACAAGTACAGGGCTGGGAATTAGGAGATCTGAGTTCTAGTCTCCATTCAGCCATGGAGCTCACTAGGTGGCATTGAACCAGTCATAAACTTTCAGCCCAACCTACCTCACAGGGTTGTTCTTGTGAGGATAAGATTGAGAGAAGAATTATGTAAGACACCTTGAGTTCCCTGGAAGGAAAACAGGTGGGATATAAATATAATAAATAAGTTAGAAACAAAAGATTTTTCTTCAAATCTGTAATACCAAATGGGAGTTTTACAGTTGATGTCAGTGTCAATCTTCAGCCTCTCTCCCCAGCATCTCCACAACACAGTATGCCAAGAAACATACTGGGTGCCTATTTATTTATTTATTTATTTATTAAAACATTTTTATGCCGCCCCATTCGCCGAAGCCTCGGGGCGGCTTACAACATAGCTATTATCCCTAGCTGAGCAGCAAAGGAATGAGGCCTCTGAATTGTGGTGCTGGAGAAGGCTCTGGTGAGTCCCTTGGACTGCAAGGCGATCAAACCGGTCAAGTCCTAGAGAAGATCAACCCTGACTGCTCTTTAGAAGGCCAGATACTGAAGACGAAACTCAAATACTTTGGCCACCTAATGGAAGGACTCACTGGAGAAGACCCTAATGCTGGGAACAGTTGACGGAAAAAGAAGAAGGGGACGGCAGAGAATGAAGTGGCTAGATGGAGTCACTGAAGCAGTTGGCATGCGCTTAAGTGGACTCCGGGGGATGGTGGAGGACAGGAGGGCCTGGAGGAATGTTGCCCATGGGGTCACAATGGGTCCAACATGACTAGCATGCATGCAGCATTATCCCTAGCACACATAGATGTAAGAGTGCACACAGGCAGTATGTAAAGCACAGTTTAAGATTTTACAAGCTAAAATGACTATGAATGTAATGTAGGACAAATAAGTTTTACTAGTATTAGATTACTCCATTTTATCACATTTATTTTCTCCATTTCCTTCCCATTTTTATCTTCTCAACAATCCTGTGAGGCGGACTAGGTTGAAGGAAGGGACGGCCTCAAGATCATCTGGTGAGAATAGGATGTATTTTCTGATCTCCCTCAAGTAGCAAAATGTTTTGTGTATGTCAAAACGCAGGAGGCTGGTAGCAACTCAGAGGAGCCAGCAGGAGGCACTGGGCATGGAGAAACAAGTGATGGGGAGCTGGTGACAACTGGGAAATGGGGTGAGCAGCAGAAAGAAAGCAAAAGAACAAGCAGGGAAGGGTGCATGCCTTCTGTCTAGTTAAAATGTTTGCAGTATGGGTAGTCGATTTCTGCCCAGGGCAAATGTGATGAGAAGGAGAGCAGGAACTGCAGCTGAACTGTTGAGGTTTCTTTGGCAGAGCTGCGTTCTTGCCTTTGCACTTCCATTCATTCGCATGGCAGCCATTGTGCAAAAGTGCCCCGAAACCATTTCAAAATTCCCAATGTGCCCACTAGTAAAAATAAAGGAAGAGATTTCGGCTCGCACTGACTGGCACCGAGTCCCCAGGTTTCAGATGGAAATCTTTCCAGACGGGAACAGACCCTGAGACCCTTTACAAAGAAGGAGGGGCTCCACCTCCGAGCTACGACCCTGCCCCAGCCTGAAGAGAAAAAAAAATTAAAGCTCACCCCACCACATCCGCCGAAGATGCCTCCCAAGGGAGGTCCAGTAAGCGCGAGAACCCAAGTCCCTCCTCAACTGCCCTACAGTCCCACGAAAAGCCCCAGATCCGCACCTGCGCCCAGCATACGAATGACACCCCTCGTCTTGAAGACCTCCGCCGCCGCAAGGATCGCATCCCCGCCATGGACCGTGTAGTAGTCGCCGCGCTCGAAAAACCGGACGGTGGTGTCGGGCTTGGCGGCCAATGCCAGCACGGCGCGCACGAAGTTGCTCTCGGCGCTCGACCCCTCGGGCCAGCAGCCCTCCCGCGCAGAGGAAGAGGAGTCTGCGCAGGCCGCCATGCTGGAATCTCCCGCCAACAAGCACAGCGCCGCCGCCTCCAGCAGCACCCACGACACACCGCACGGCCAATCCTCGCCCCGCGTCCCACGCCGGCCTCCGTAGGAACCGCCTTCTCTGCGGAACGCGTTCCGGCGGGAAGAGCCCTGCCGGCCACCGTCCCAGCGCCATGGCAACCACTCGACGCTTAGGGAAATTGTAGGCCTGTTTGTGAGCATGGCGTGAAAATGGTGGCGAGGGCGGTACGGATGCTGGTAATGCGAGTTTCCATGATTAAAGGCGCAATTTCACGCATGTTCAACAGAAAAATGACTTACAGCTCTTTTTCTGTGGAAACCTGCATAGGAGTATGCGTTCAATCAGCCCTCCAAATGTTATTGGAGTACAACGCCCATGCATTGATCATGCTGGCTGGGGTTGATGGGAGTTGTGGCTGCCAAGAAACGGTGAACGCACGTACGATGGGGGTGTACAGTCAAAAGAACTTTACAGTTTACAATATAGTTTCCTGATAAGATCAGGATCCGGTCTTGACAGACTATAGCTGCTCTTGTAAATGACAAGTTTTTGGAAGCCATGTGGTTTCCATGAATGCATGGTTTTGTTACCGAACTCAGCCAGTCAACAGCTAGGGTAAACCCAGGTGGACCCCAGACCTGAGCCAAAAGGATCCTGAGATGAGACATAGAGCCAAAATCAACTTTATTCTAGTGTGCTATAGAATAAAGGGAGACAAAAGGGGACATTCAGCCCAAAGCAGTGTCTCAAAGTTGCACCCTAGTACTTGTGTTTTATACCCTAGGTAACCAATTAGGTCACCTAATACACATCTAATACATCAGTACATCAATGTATGCACCCCCTCCCTTGCTGGAGAAAGAGTCCTTTCTTCTGTCAAGAACCAGACATTTTCCATGTCTATTTCTTATCTGCTTGAGATTCACACAGGCTTGCCATGTTCTTACTCCCTGCACATTTGCAACTTTCATGGCGGCTAGAACCTGTTTCCACTGTCCCTTTGATTACTGTATTCGAGGTCAGGCTAGCATGTTAGCTGTGGGTTACACAAAGTTCATTTTGTTCCTATCTGCCCTCCCTTCTGGGACAGTATAACTGTGGTGTTTTTACTATGTGGCCTTTCTCTGGCCAATTACTTTTGGGGTGTTTTGGGGTGCTGCAATTGGCAACAGTTTCCAAGCTTCTCTGTCTTTCCTCCTAACAGCAGCTGGTGTCCCATCAACTCCCATGGCTAAAAACCAATCTAAGAGTGGACTGCTCCTGCTTGTGTCACCTGTCTCTGCCTTATTGGCCCACACACTCTTCTGAGCATAGCTGCAGGCTGCTGATCCGGGGTGGTGGTGGTGGTGGTTTTTGCCTCCTCAGACGCAGCCGCTGCTTGCTCACTAGAGTAGCACTATTGCTACAGATTAGCGCTAGATGAACACTCCCTTGTGCGGCCATGCTCTGTGCCAACATACAAGCATAACCACCCACACCTCCGTGCCTCACTCTTGCTGCACATGGGTCCATGTTCCCCTCTGCACAGGACTCACACACACTGCAAAGGGCTGCCCCCTCCCCCTGCAGCCAGGCCCATGAAGAACATCAGTGCAGGCATGCATGCCAGAGACAAAGACGGTGTGTCCGTCTGGGAAGAATTTCCCAAGGGAGACCATGAGGACATCTGCCTGGGAAAGGTGTTGAAACTGTATTTGTCCTGCAGGGGGGGGGGGGGGGGCAGGGTTCACTGACAGTCCCAAGGAAAGTCAGTAACAAGGTAGGAGGGCAGGAGCCATGGGGCTGTTGCCAATGCCTGTGTGCAGCGGGTGTGCTTCTCTTGTGTAGGGCAACTTTGGCAGGAGGAGAATGCTGGCTCTAAGAGTAAAGCAAAGGCACAGCAGTTTCAAAGCACCACTTGAGTAAAGTGCAACAACCAGACAGGAGTGCCAGGTACAGTCATCCCCAAGACTGCTGCTGCTGGAGGAAGTGCAGTGCCCCACTGGTGTCAAGCTTGCAAAACTGCAAGTGAGCATCAGGATGGCAGCATGCAGGTGGAGGAAAACGGAGTGACCCACCAGAGCAGAGTTGCAGCTGCTTCAGCAGTTGCTAAGCAGACCTGGATAGTGCAGACTACAGGCTAGAACATCTGCTGCAGTTGTGGCACTCTTGCAATTAAATTTGCTGGAAGAAGTGTGAAATCCATATGGAAGCTGTATTCACATGCCAGTGGTATAGTGGCAAATTTAGAAGTGGAAGGTTCCTTCATGATAGTCAGAGCCACAACTCAAAGCCATATCCCTATCAAAGCCACATTCGCCTAAGCCAAACCTATTTCCAATCTTTTGCAACCTATGATTATAGATACAATAAAAGTGACCTTTGTCACTTTGTTTGAATTTCTGTCAAGTAATGAAAATGAGGGAATCTCTTTTTGAGGTGAAACAACAAAAGCTTCTAGCAGTTAATTCTTACTACCTTATTGATTATGATTTTTTAAATTACATTCATACCCTGCTCTCCAGTCAATAAGCTCCTAAAGTGGCTTATGTGGAACTAATAAGACTGTTCCTGCTCACAGGTTTACTGTCTAAAAACATGACATACAAAGGCTGATGATGAGGGAAAGTGTTACAGAAAATGAACATGCCTGCCTGGCAGGTCTGTCCAGATAGGTAGATCCCAGGAACTCTTGGGAACTGTTGAAAAGAGCACCCGTTTTTAACTCATTAAATCCAGAACTCTGACACAGTGGCGCTTGCCAGCCATGAACCAGCAAAATTAAATCTCTTGAGAGGTGGTAGGGGAGGAACAGTGACCATGGCTTCAGGGATCTAGTAACCTCCTCTAAGAGCCCCCTCCAAAATATGTAAGGGTGCCCCAACCCCCCCAAGGCCCCCTCCACTGCACTGCACCCTTGTCAAATCAACAGACAAGCCACAGTGAGTATAGAAACCATACAATAAACCATTGTTTCTCTCCATGGTTCCACATGAACCAAATGTATCATGTTTTACCACTCTTGTTGAGTTCACAAGCCATGTCATAACAACAAACCATGTCACAGTGGTTTCTCCCATGGCCTGTTGTCCTATGTGAACCCACCCTTAGTGTAATATATGGAACTTTTCCAAGTGATTCATGGATGGTTACAATCTGAACCAGCAAGAGAGCTGGTAGAACTTTCAAAACCACACTATCACAAGTCTCAACAACAACTTAAAGATAAAAAGAATACAAAATGAAGATATATAAGCTTTATAAAGATCCTAAAATCTATCATAAATTGGGCACCAATTAATGCTGCAATTAATGCAGAGCTGCCCCGACCTTCATCTGGTTTAGTTTTATTGGACAAGCTTCAAGTCATGGAGGCCCAAGGCTGGCCAACTCTGGTTGACCATCTGTGTGCTTGACCCTTGCCCTTTATGGCTTCCTACATCTAACAGGGAAGGGATATCCAGCTGGGTTCAGGAGATTGTCTGTTCCTCCTTAAAAGGAGGAGTGGTGCTAGCCTCATTAAAGGAAATGATAATTAAGACTTTCCTTCAAAAGCCTAATCTGGACTCATGATGTTATCAACTATAAGTCACTAGCCAACATCAGAATCCTGGGCAAGGTATTTGAACAGGTGGTTCCAGATAACTCCATACATTCCTGAATGAAACTGACTATCTAGATCCAATCAAACTTCAAGCCTGGTGTTGGAAAAGAAATGCTTCAGTAGCCCTTCAGGATGGCCTTTACCAAGAAGAGGATGGGAGAGTGCAATCCTGTATATTCTGTTGAACCTCTCAGCAGCTTTCTATACAATCAGTCATGGGGTTGCCCCTGAATAAGTTGCCCCAGTTAGGAGTTGGAGGCACTGCATTTCAGTGGTTCTGCTTCTACTTGGATGTCTGATTTGAAAAGGTGGTGCTGGGGGATTATTGTTCTGTGCTTAAACAGCTATGCTACGGGGCTCCATACTCCCACTAAGGGATCACGTTTATGGTCTTGCTACTGGAGGAACAGTTGGACTCAGCTTAGGCTGGCTTGCCAAAAGACTGTCTTCTTTCAAGCTCAGTAAAGGAAGTCCTCATGAAACAAAGATGTTGGTTCCTGTTTGACCTCCAGATGTAGGGAGTCCCACAGAAACATAGCTGTTACCCTGAAGGCTCTTCTCTAGATAGATTCCAGTTAGGCCATAAGCCCAAGAGGAACCACCAGAGTACACCATCTGATAGCCTCAATGACTGAGTAGGAAGTAAGGGAGAAGGTGCTCCCGCAAGTATCCTAGTCCCAAGTTGTTTAGGAGTTTATATAATAGTATCAATCACTTTAACACAGCTCAATAGCAAATAGGTAGCCAGCACAGTTCACTCAGCAAAGGTGTGTGCTGAAAAGGGAAGTTCATGACAACAGTTGAACTGCTGCATCCTGCTCTAGCTCTAGCTTCCAGACGAGCCTGAAGGGCAGCCCAACATAGTAATTCAGCAATCCATAGTCAGCTATCAATCCAGCACCTCTACCACTGTGTCCACGCTATCCATAGGAGGTAAAAGGCACTTGAAGCCAGCACAGTCACTTGGGCTAGTGACTGGATAGTGATGGATCTAGAAGTAACCCCAGAGTCCTTCCAGACTATGAACTTGATCATTCAAAAGGAGTGTAATGTCATCCACAACAAGCAATGAGCCTATCTTACAGCCTAGGAAACCACTCACCCATAGAGCTTCCACTTAACAGGGTTAAGTTTCAGTTTATTGGCCTTCATCCAGCCCATCACTGAGTCTAGGCACTGATCCAGGACTTGCACAGCCTCTCCAGACTCAATGATAAAGATATATAAGTGCTGTGTCATCAGCATACCAATGGCACTTACTTCCAAATCCCCTAATGACTGCTCCCAGAAGCTTCAGTGAGATGTTAAACAACTTTGAAGAGAAAAGTTCAGAAGTACCCTTCAGGATTCCCTAGCTCAATTGCCAAGGAATGGTCACTGAGTATTACTCCCTGAAATAGATTGTGTTGCTAAGACTGGAACCACTGTAATAAAAGTGCTTCCAGTACCCAGTCCACAGAGTCAGTCCAGAATGTTATGATTGATGGTACTGAAAGACAATGACAGAGTAAGCAGAATTTATGGAACCACAGTCTTCCTGTTCTTTTCTTGATAAAGGTTAACCAGTGTCAACCAAGAGGCAACCAAGGCTATTTCAGCCTTACCTGGATAGAGATA